ATATTCACGCTTTCTGAAGTGATGAATTTAAAAAATGGTTGCACTCACATCAAGCAAGGTTTAACGTCAATACAACTCCAGACTACTGTTTTAAAAACTGAGCTATCAATGAACAGCCTGACTCCTAAGTATTTCTGATAGGTCCAAATTGGCTAGAATCAAATTTTTTAGGGAAGAATATCTACAAATATTTTTCCACCAACAGCACAAAACAAGCAATGGAGACAATAAGGATTTCATAACCACCCAATGAATTAACACTATTCTTATATTCGACTCGATGGCCATCCAAGTCACTGAGGAAAGGCTAGATGTATTGGTTTAGTGCCACTTGGACGCTTATTTTCCATCTGCAGTTTTCTGAACTATTAGCACTACGCCTTCGTTCCTCCCTACCCTGTAAATACTATGCAGCCGCCGAGGGAAAAACAGCTAACCGCAATGGAGGGTAACGCTAAGATGTCTAAGGAAAGCCATCACACAGATTTGCACTTACTCTAGAGGCAAGAGAAGTATAAGTTCCACCTTTCCATTATGAAACAGTTCATGATTGTAAGCAATATTTTTAGCTCGAGATTCTTTGCTCTACCAACTGGGGTTTTAGTTTTGCAGAGAGCAAAAGCAGTAGTACCTGACCTGGAAAGCTTAAGTCCTTTCTTGCCGTCAGCCCCATCCCGTTTGAGAATCTCGGTGAGTGTCTTGGCGCATTCCAGGAACATTGGGGCGGTGGTCTTCATTCGACCTCCCGTGAATCCCGGGCCTAATAGGGATCGCACTGCCTTCCATTTTTCGCCCTAACAAAAGGAAGATGACATACACAAAGGAAAATATAAAAATTCTGAAAAAAGAAAATCATGGTATCTCTACTCAATGTTATTCAGGAGAATTTACGAGGTGCAGTCAGAAAGTCCGTACCGTACATTTCTAGCATACGTTTCTGGAATTAGTTGGAATAAATTACGGTTGGAAGAGGTATTATGATCAGTTTTGAGTCAGACAACACATTGGGAACATTGTTGATATTGTTGTTTGTGTGCAACATTGGTTTTTCGACAGTTTCCCCTGCTGTCCCTGAGCAATGGACTTCGCGGAGGAAGAACAAAGAACTGTGATCAAATCTGCGTGATCCGTCAGGGCACTTCCAATGAGAAAGTTCTTCACGCTCTTTTTCTAGACAAACAGGATTTTGTTCTACCTCACGTAGTTCATAAAGGTGCAACCAATAATGGAAGCTACTACAAACATGTGTTACAAACTGAACTTTAATCAGCAGTAAAAAAAATTGCGTCCGTTGAAGGCCAATGACTGGATCATTCCTCAGCTGGACAATGCACCACCACGCAAGGCAGGTGTTGTAAGGGAGATTTCTTATAAAATGGTATCGAGGCCTTGCCCCATCCCCGTACTCACCAGACCTGGCACCCAACGATTTTTGGGTGTCCTCAAAACTCGAGGATTCGTTATAGAGTAAGATGTATGACTCCTGACAAGCCCGTGGTACTGTAGTATACCAGTGGTTTAAACATACACCTGAGGAAGCATTTGCCAAGTTCTTTAGTAACTGGCAACGAAGGTGGAAACTGTGTGAAGGTAAAGCAGGTGATTATGTTAAGAAGTGACCGCAGTTTCTATTCAGAACTCCTGAATAGAAATGAATATGGCTCGACGGTGTGAACTTTCTGACTGCACCTCTTATGAATCCCCATTAGGGTAGAAACATGAAATGTATTATTAATACATTGCGAATTAATTTGAAATTATTACATTCGTAAAATGAAATACATCTGCGAATTTTGAGTAGGAAAGGTAACTGTAAAAAATTGTAAAGACCATATAATACCACATATTAAATTACATCGAAGAAAATCACACTACGCTCTAGGTTCAATACACCTTTACACAAGTTGGAAGGCATTGTCTTATGCGTCACAAAATGGAGCTGAGGGTAGCTGTAGTGGTATGTTTCATGGCCCTATAACATCCGCGCTTTTCGCTACATATTTATCGTGGGAGAAAATATGTGGTTTTTACCCACAAACCCCCTTGGGGGTAACCCCTTGAGTACACATCGTTTTGAAGGCGCCGTAACTGGGATAAACCGGAAAATGGCGAAAATGTATGCATTTTTACATTTCTTCTTTTAGTACACGCTTGCATAAGCTTACACAAGTTTTACAGGTAGTTAGGGTATTGTTGAAAGCAGACGCCTGTGTGGAGTCTTACTTGTTCGAAGCAGCCGAAAGTATGCAGACGTGATACAGCTGAACTTTGGAGGATGGGAGAATTTTAAGTTTTCATGACGCACCAATATGCGTTGCGAGTAGTCAACAGTTTAAGGGCCTTGCGGAAATTTTTTCATGAATGTGTTTTCCTGTTTCGTATTATGCCTTTATTTAATATGCCATTCGCTCTTAATGTGAAATTTTCCGTTTATGGATATCAGGGAGAAAGCTCTCAAGGTCTCCGCACTCGAGACTGTTGGACGCTCGAACGTATATTTACGTCTCCAGCACAGTAAGTGTTAAAATCGGAGTGGAAAATATGATAAGGGAACGAAAGAAGCCATAAACAGAACGCAGATAAGTACCTGCAGCTGGTCGAGGGAATCTTGGAAGATCTCCTGTTTGAGATCGAGATCCCGTCGGTCGCTGAAGAAGGAGAACTCCTTGACGGTGACCAGTTTCACCAATTCGGCGTCGGTGGTGAATAGCACAGGGCGTCGGCCCTCGTATTCTCCCCAAGTTCTCCCATAGCGACGGCGGTGCTCCAAGTCCACCAAGTGCAGATGGTCTGCTCCATAGAAGAATGTTTCCAACCGAGGGAGTCAGAGTACAAAAATCATCCCTTTCATTATGTGGGAGGGAGTGGGAGGAAGAGCAGTAATATAAACCAGGGTCTAGAAACATCGCTCCTGAGTTCCGGGAGTGAAGAGTGCATGCAGCTAGGAGCCTCTCATCCATGCATAACACGAGTCCTTCAACCCACCACGTCCAATGCCATCTAATCGGATTGGGTCTATCCCTGTCCCATTCCTCACTCTGTCTTCGTCACCCGCTAACGAGTATGGAGAACTGCCATTGGGGGCCTGTGTGAATGAACTATACTCACTTGGGTGATCGTCGCCTGAGAAAACAATTGTCTTTACCACGCAGTGGCGTAACTAGAGGGGGGCAAGTGGGGCAGTCGCCCCGGGCGCCACAGTCCAGAGGGCGGAAAAATAGCCTTTCAAAAAAATTTTTATTTCAAAGAAGCAAAATTTCGGAAATTTTTTTCCTTTTGCCCATTTTGCCGCCCACTGGCAAAATGACCATTTAGGGCGGCAAAATAGCCTTTAAAAAAAAATTTTATTTCAAAGAAGCAAAATTTCGGAAATTTTTTTCCTTTTGCCCATTTTGCCGCCCACTGGCAAAATGACCATTTTGACGATTTTGCAATTTTTTCTCGTTTGCCGCTCTCAGTTCAGAGGGCGGCAATACTGACGCAAATAGCATTTCTGGGGTAATAAAAAAAATACAATTTTACTATTGATATGTCTCTGGTATGACGCATGCTGGTAGCTCGGTTAGTAGTGCTGGGGCTATATTCACTTCCTTTGCGAGCAAGTTATGACTGATATTAAACGTCTAAACCACTCTGCCAGCGACATATGCTGGGAGACGGCAGTCACGAGTCATTTTACTCAGTCAAGTTCCAACACGAATCCTAACTCTACTGTGAAACAAGGCGGAGTTGAAAATCAATACATCCAGTACTCTAGTGACGGTTTATGCCACAGACTCACAGCTTGCAGCAGTGAACACCAGTGTGACGAAATTCCGGAATATTTATTACGTTCAGCCCGTCAATTAGTGATTGAGTCATTCACCCAAGCAGCATGTTTACATAAACATGATATCAATTTTTTGCAAACAATGTAAATTTCTTGCGATTGCCATGAAAATGACATCACGTTTACGTAAAATTTACGTTCCTATATTTACGTCACCTAGACAATGATGAAAATC